CCCGCCAGCGCTAGCACCAGCGCCAGCACCAGCCGCGGCGCGCGGGCGCTCCGGGGCCGGGCCATCCGCCGTCCCGCTGCGGGAGGAACACACGGCCTGGACGGGAACAGAACGCGGGAACGCTCTGAGCGCCTGGCAGAGGGAGGACGCCGGGCCGCGAGGCAGGGGGAGGCGCCCCGGGGCCCGGGGAGAAGGGGAGGCGCGCGACGAAAGTTGGCTGAGCCGCTCGCGGACGAGGTGGGATGTCAGTTCGCCCTGCCCTCGCAAGCCTCCCCCGCGCTCACACAGCCTCTGGATCTTATCGCTCAGGTCCCCCTGCCCGACCACTGCCTCCGCCGCGCCGGCCGGCCTCTCCCGGACAGCCCTGCGGCCCTCGTCCTCAGCGCACAACCAAACGCAAACGCACTCCCCAGCCACACTCACGTGCGCCAGCCGCTGTCGGTCAGGACAGGGCTGCGACAGATGTGCAGGGCCCAGAGAGGATTTAGGGATTCTGGGGAAGGGATGAGAGGCCGCCCTGAGGGTGGAGACCCCTCCTGAACGTGGGCTGTGCGCAGAGGGGCGCTCTCTCCATCTCCTTTCCCTCCCTCTTAGGAGAGGAGGGAGCCCTACTCCCCTGGGGCTGTTTCTTTCCTCTCTGGGTGTGTGTCTGACCCCAACTCTCTCTGGCTGTCTCTGACACCCACACTGTCCTTCTCTGTCTCTCGGTTTATTTCTCTATCTCTGTCTCTGCCCCCTGCCCATCTCTGTCTCTTCTCTTTCTGTCTCTGTCAATTTCGTTCTCTCTTTGTCCCTCTCTTCCTCTCTTTCCTAGCCACCAGGGCCTTGGTTCCAGCTACCCAAGGCGCTCCCCAGCTTTGTCCTTGCAAAACCCTGCAGTCCCCCCGGGAATGGAGGGAGAAAGAGCTCGGGCTGAATGAGCCAAGTACATCTGAGCAGCAGGAGGGAGAACAGGGCTGGCCAGGAAGGAAGCACCAGGAAGCCGACCTTTAATCTTAGCAAGGACTCTGATTAATACACACACAACAACCCTACAAAGAGGAGCCGTTTACCATGAGCCTCGTTTGGCAGATGGGAAAATAGAGATCTCGAGGAATGAAGTGACTCATCTAAGGTCACATAGTTGGCGTGGGTCAGCATCAGGATTTGCGCTCAGGCTGGTATGAAACCGGTTGCCCACACGGCCTTTGATGGAGGAGGCTGGAGGGACAGGGCGAGCTCACCCTGCAGCTTCTGCCCCAACCTCTCGCATCTGATGATGGAACCCTAAAGAACTGTTCTTCTGGTCATGTGGAAAGCCCTCCTGGGCTCTGGGGTCTGAAGCAGTGACTTCCACAGTGTGAGGCTCTGGACTTGAGTTTCCCCATCTCATCACTGACGGCTACGGTGAGGGGGGCTTTAGCCACAATATGCTTTTACCATCATTCCTGTCTGAGGCCCCGGATTTGGTTCTCTGATGCAAAGAGAGAGAGAGCAAAGGGCATCAGGAGACAGGTGGGGAGCTCCCAGCCCCAGGGATTTGCAGGCTCATCCCACAGGGGCTTGAGCCGGCTTGGGCTCCATTAGGCAGGGCGGATTAGGGTGGCCGCAGGGATTTGGGCAAAACTGGCAGAGGGAATGAGCAGAAGCCATGTCACCCTTCTCTCCTCCCCCACCACATCCAAGGGCCCCACCAGTCTTGCTCCCAGAGCTGTCCGGGCACCTCTCTCTGGCAGAGGCTGGGAGCCAGGAGAACGGGGTCCAGCTCTACCCATTTTACAACTTGGGAAGGACGGA